GGATCCAAGAAACCCGCGCGTACCGCCAACACATTATGTTTATGGCGTTTTTTCTCATTCGAGACAAGACGTGCACAATTGTCAAGCACATGCAGCGGCGCCGGCAGCCCATCCCGGCACCCATGTATGCAACTACGCCTGGTCAGCCAGCGTCCTACACATGGAACAGACCACCTTCGTGTCGCGTCGCCTACTTTATGTCGGGCATGTCCTCCTACAGGCGGATTTTGGAGGAAAAATAAAAGATAGTCAAAGTTAATCAAACATTGTCACAAAATATTCGAAACATTCTGCCCAGCCTAGCTTGCACCATTCTTGAATACTCCTCCTGTAGAGGGACATGCCTGACTGAAACCTTGGGCTGGCGGGCCAGGCAGGGTGTCTGAATCCAGCCCTCCTAGGAAAAACCCGCCAGCAACAAGTCGTGCCGAATCGAATGCGCGCCGCTGTGCGGCGTGCAGGACCTGCCCATGCCGGCGAAAGACTCCTGCACCATCGTGCCAAGCATGTTCGGGGGCGCGCAAGCATGGATTAGCGATCCATGGATTTGGCGCGCGGTCGCCAAATCCATGGATCGGGGGAGGTGCCCTCCCCAAGATGCGGCCGGTGCCGCCTCGATCGGCGGCGGAAAGCCGCGATTCCCCACGGAAGCGGAACCCGTCGCTGATCCACGCCCCTTGATCCATGCTTGCGATCTCCTGACCAAAGGAACGGCTCCGAGCCACGCCCCCTGGATCCGTGTCTGCGATCGCCTGGCACGTGGTGCCCTCTTGCAGCTCCCCGCCCTCTTGTGCTGTGGTGCCCCCCCGCCCTCCCTGCTCCCGCCCTCTGCCTCCGGCTCTCCCCTGCTCCCCCCCGCCCTGCCCCCTCTGGGATCCAAGAGGTGTCTTGCCCTCCCTGCGCCGCATGCAGGAGATGACCGGAGGAGGGTGGGGAGTAGGGGATGGACTGCAGAGTTGATGCACCCCAGAAGTAGTTTCCTCGTCGAATCTCATTGAGAATCCACCGTAGATTCGATGGGGGAAGTGAATTCTGGGGTGAATCCATTCTGTGGTCGATTACCCTCCTCCAGGTGGGGGAGGACATGGAAGCGCACGGGGCGGAGGCGAAAGAGGAGCATCCGGAGGACAGCACCGGGGGCGAGCAGGGCGAATCTCCCGTCGTCGCGCCTCTTCAACACGTGGGGACCCCGGAACTCCCGACGCCCTCGTCATGCCAGCCCGTCTGCAGCGCTCCCGGCCCTGGGGCCCCCGGATGGCTCTCCCCTAGGGGCGGCCGCACCCGTGAGCTGCACCAGTGGTGCCCCTACTCTCTGCCAGGGCGTGGGGGATCTGGGGGGGCGGGAAGGGGAGAGGGCAAGGAGTGGACCAGGAAACAAACGACACCACCCCACCTCCTCGATCCTCCTCGATCCTCCTCCTCCTCCTCCTCCTCCTCCTCCTCCTCCTCCTCCTCCTCCTCCCTCCTCGATCCTCCTCCTCCTCCTCCTCTCCTCCTCCTCCTCCTCCTCCTCCCTCCTCGATCCTCCTCCTCCTCCTCCTCCTCCTCGTCCTCGTCCTCCTCCTCCCCCCTGTCCTGGAGATGGACGGCAGCACGGGGCTCAGCGTACACCAGGAGATCTGGCGTGGGTTTTCGCCGTGGTATACACGCTGCGGCGCCCGACGGGCCGTAGGCCAATATGGAGGGCCGTAGGCGGGGTGGTGTCGGTTGTCTGCGGTCGAAGGAGATGCGGGAGGATGTGGAGCCTGTTCCGCGCGGGGCAGGGCACGTACTAACAGCTGCCGCACCGACGGAGCGGCAACTGGGGATGCCAGCCGGCGGACAAGAGTCTGCAGCCAGCGGCAACCACGAGAGACGCACGCGGAGGCGACGAAACACTTCCCTTCATGCTGCCCTTCGACCGCGGAAGTAAGATATTTGAGAATGACGGAAGGGGGTCCTGAGGGAATCGGGTCTTAGACTGAGCAGGCCGAAAGTGGCGATGCAAGACCCAATTTTCTCAGGAGCCCTGTCCTTCCCTGAGGTCCGACGTCACGAAACATGCAGCACCGTGAAATCACGAACAGAGCCCTGGACCCCATCCTTCTGCAACACCTCTCGACCTATATCGATTTTCGAAAGCTCCAGAACCTTCTGTCGTAATTTAATGTTTTCGCAGCGCGACGAATTCTGAATTTCCGACATGGAGAACGACGGGGGTCGCGAGCAGACGGGGGTCGCCAGCCAAACGAGCAGAAAAATGGGGGTTGTACAGTTGGGATGTTTGTCCTTGCTTGTCGCGGCGGCGGCCCCAGCGAAACTCTATGCCCTGCGAGCGGATAGCGTGTCGACACGCTCCGCGGGACGGGAGGCTGGGAAACTGGGACGTGCATAACTTGTCGCTCCAACGCGTGGTGGGCCAGAACCTTTGGAGCGACACGCTGAGCCAAATTTCCTGACCGCAGCGCATCATGGCCCGAGGTATGTGTCACGGACAAGGGGGGGGTGACGGGGACGTGGAAAGAAGAAGAATACGAATGATGTAATTATCAGAACATCACTGATCAGTAGAAGAAGGAAGTAATACAACGAATGATAACAACTAAAACATAACAAGAACAGCAAGAAGCGGAAACGTAAGATATGCCATGAAATCTGTGAGATGTCATGGACCCGACCATGATATCCACATACACACACACACACACCTGGAGCCACCGTGCCACCAGGCACGCCGAACCAGGAACGAACGGGCCTTCTTCTGGCCCCGGCGAGTCCCGGCCACGAAGAGGACCACGGATCCACTTGGACCCAAGGAGCGGCCCGTAAAAACCACCTGCTTGGGCCAAAGGGACGGCCCTACCTAGACCCAGGGAGCCCTGCTTGGACCCAAGGAACGGCCCCGAGCCACGCGCGACTCTCAATTCAGGGCCATGGCTGCAGTGCTCACCTCCGCCCTCCTCGGCACCCACGACGCGCGGGCGCTGCTCAGTAGGGAGCAAGGCGCTGGGAGGGCGAGGCTCCGAACCACACGCGGCTCTCAAGTCAGCGCCATGGCCGTAGTCCTCACCCCCCCCGTCGGCGCCCACAACATCGCGGGCGCTGCTCAGTGAGGAGCAATGAAGGGGGGGGAAAAGAACGGTGCAACTCCTTTCGCCACCTTCGGGGCTGCGGGGGGCACCATCAGGGCCTCCTTCCTGCAGCCTTCGAATCCCCCCCCCATCTTCACCCATACATCATGCACTTTAATTTTTGTGAGACACGGGTCCTCGACCTCGCGGCCACTTCTCCGGCACCGGCGTTTCATCAATTTTTTGACGGTCCCGAGGCCGGGCAAGGGCCCCGAGAAGCCGACTACGATGGAAAGTCTCCGTCTTGATTTTTGTTCGGGACGCTGGAAGTCTGGGACTATGGGATCGCGCCTCGGCATCCAACATCCAGACCACGAGAGCATCCAAACCAGGAGTCCAGGAGCCCCGGGACCCAGGCGGCCTATCGAAGTCGGAGCCGTACATTCGCCTACTCTGTCAACATCGTCTAGGAATTCTTCTTCCCAGACCCCGACATCAGGATTTGTTCTTCACGCCAAACCCCAAAGATCTCGACCTCTACCCTGGGACACTTCTCATCCTGAATATTTCTTGTTGGACGATCCCGAAACCCAGAAGGGCCCCACAGAGGCCCTTACAACGGAGAAAAGCCGCTGGTTCTGATCTTGTTCATGACTGGAGGGAGTCGGGGTTCAGTGCAAGCACTGCTTCGGGAAAAACCTCCGACCCTATTTTTTCGAAGCGCCAGCTCACTTAGAGGAACAATAAAAAGCATACACATAAACTGTTGGCGCTCCGCGCGGATTCCTTGGAGCTGAGCTGGAACCCCCTCAGCCTTGCGCGCGGAGCGCGCCAGGGGCGGCGCCGGAGGCGCCGCCGCGGGGGCCCAGCGCGGATCCAAGAAACCCGCGCGGAGCGCCAAAAGTTGATGTTTATGGCGATTTGTTCTTCTTCGATGCTTCGGGCAAAACCTGCGACACCATTTTTTCGAAGCGCCAGCTCTCTGGGATTCAGCCCAGCGTGAGGTCGGGCGTGTCCTCCTACAGGCGGATCTTGGAAGAATAATGAACGACAACCACCACGAACGATTCAAACATTGCCTCCCCAAAATCAGAAAAATCATCATCCGACTATTGCTGGACTATTTTGGAATTTTCTTCCTGAAGAGGAGACATTCGGGGGCACCGAAAAGGGGGGGATAGCAAAGGGTAGGGCAGAGAATCAGCTCACGTAGCTGATTTTCCCAGCGCCTCCCGGCGCCGGGAGGCGCCCTCGTATCGAGGCATGGGCCCGGCGGCGGGGCCGCAACCAGCTGCAGACAGCAGGCTTCGTGACCCCCACCCTTCTCATATAGGATCCCCCCCCCCGTTCGTTCGGCCCGAGACGTGCCCGACTTCAGTGAAGGGGCCCTGGGACTCGCAAATAGATCAACAAAAATAAAAATATGCTCCATATGTTCCCCAATTTTCTTCTAGGTTCCTGTCTTCCCCACCACTTCCCATCTTTTCCCCTATTCCCCTGGGAGCCGGCGATTGACTGTGTCTGTGTGTTTTTTCCCCTCCTGCTTCAGCCCAGCGCCCGAGGCGCGAGGCGACGAGCGCGCGCCCCCCCCGCGGGGGCCCGCGCGGCCCGGGGCCCCCCGTCGCCATCGCTCGGACGTCCATTCCCGGTTTTTGTTCGGTTGCGTGCGTGGTTTTTTCGCCAACTGCTCCAGGATGCTCCTCGCTGGCCCTCGCCGAAGGAGCAACGCACACGTCCGAGCGATGCCAAGCCGGGGCGCGAGGCGACGAGCACGCGCCCCCCCCCCCAGACCCCCGACGTCGTGAATTTTTCATGACGTCGACCCCCATGCTGTCTGGACCCATTCCCCGTGACCGGTTTTTCGTCCTGAGTCGTTTTTTGACGGTCCCGAGGGCCGGTAAGGGCCCCCCAGAAGCCAAAAAAAATGAAAACCCTCCCGTCGTGATTTTTTCATACCTCGAGGGGGTCTGGGCCCGCGGGGCGCCCGCGCGGCCTGGGGCAGCCCCCCCCCCCCGGACGGCCGGCGGGCGCCCCGCGTCACCGGCGCGGGCTCGGCGTCGGCGGCGGCGAGGCGGGCGGCCTCCGCGCCCGCGTCGGCGGGCAGGCGCCTGCTCTCGGGTCGGGCACGTCCCCCTGTGCTGCGGGATGACGACTACTAAAAAAATGGGAGCGAACGATTCCACAGATTGTTGTCTGCTCTTTCTGCGCAACTTTCTGACTGGAGGAGAGCGGCAAAAATAAACAGCTTTCCAGCCCGCGGCCGGTCTTTTCTGATCGTCATCCCCGGCGCCGCCGCGTGATCACGACCCCCGGTCATTTATTAATCGTCATCCTCCATTACAGGGGGGCCTCGGGCGAAACATCAAAAGCAGCCAAGACGTATCCCAAAACAGTTCAAACAA